ATCTGGGACAATAATTTTTCTGAACAATCTAGTATTTACCACTGAAAGAAAATAAAAATATCAAGCCCAATGTGACAAAGGTTGAGAAGCCAGTCCCAAAAGACTCTGATGGCTAGAATAAGGGAAAGAATAGAGAAAAGCCAGCTCCAGCCTCAAGTGCGGGAGCCCCTTAGGGTTCGGGGTCGGGGAGAGAAGGTGAGCAGGATCGCACAAGCCTCAGGGGCTGGGGCTGCTGGGAGGTACAAAGCCTAAATCCTCCTACTTCTCTTCTTACTCTGGAACAAGGTGCTTGGAACTTGCTTGGAAAAAGTTTTTTTTGATGATGACAGTGATGACGGTGGGGGGGATGCTGATGATGATGGTGATACAGTAACATTCCACTCAGCATCCCTCACTGAGTATTCTCAATGATTAAAAAAAAAAAACAACAAAACTAATGAGTAATGAGTAAAATGCTCGCCATAATTTTCTCTTCTATAGATGGCAGAGTTTTACTAAAAATAAGAATCTGCTGTGAATTCAAGAAAAAAATTGAAGCTGAATCTTTAAGAAATGAGTTTCCTTAAACGTGCCCTTCAGTTTCTATGTCTTTGGTGACACAGCACTTTCCCGTTACTGTACGTCATTATTCCACACAGACCTGTGGGGGCTTGTGAAGGTTTCACTAACTTTCTCCATGTTCTTTATAGAACATTTCCCTCCTACTTTGCCACTTGTACAGTGTTAAAGTAATAAAACAGCACTTTTCAAATGTTCCACTAGTTCTCAGTAAACTCCACTCCCTGGCCCAATTCTGCTATAAGAAGGCTTTTCTATATCATGCTTCTATGGCCCTTTGCTTCCAAAAAGCATCACAACCTTCTCTACACATATTACATATAATATTCATCATTGCCACGCTTCTATGAGGTGCATATTTTTAGTTTCTTTTGCAAACACAGAAAACAGCACACAGGAGAGAATGTACTTACTCAGGCACACCAAATTACAGGGGTTGGGGAAAGGGAAGAAAATTAAATATCCTTGCACCTTGAGCCAGATCAGTTGCTAGGTGCTGACATTCCATATCTTACTTTAATTCTCACAACAATTTGATGAGATAGCTCCATTTTACAGATATGAAACCAAAATCCAGACAGGTTAAGAAATTCGCCCAGGGTTCACATACCAGAGCTGGGATTCACACCCAACGCTCCTGATTACACAGGGAATCTCCTTGCTACACAACTCTCTTTGTTGCTTGAGATACACAGGAATCCTTTTCGTGGGTGCCAGGATGGAAACGGTCTTAATTTTAATTGCCTGCAAGATTCAATTTCAAGCAACAGTGGGATGTAGTTCTGAAACTCTATGATCTTTGGCCATACCAGTTGGAGCAGAATGTCCAAATGGTGAGAGAAGAGAGCTGTCCTGGTTCCGCTCTGATCAGTTCACAGTTGGGCTTATGCATCCAATGCTGGGCATTGCATTTGTGAGGGGCATCCACAAACAAGGTTCGCAGAGTGAGGAATCCAGAAGCGAATTCCAGAAGCACCCTCCCTTGGGAAACTATAGAGACCATGAAGGGCCATGCGAGAGCACTCCTGCACTAACTGGAGGCTGTCCTGTTGAAATGGCGGCAGACTGTTGCTCTATTGAGCTGAATGGGGCCACTCACTTGTAAAAGAGTCTGAAATGAATGTTTCAGAGGAATTCTGCAAACACCTTATATTGGGACTTAGCAAGGTACCTTCATGGCGCCCCCACATACAGGGCAGAAACAAGCACTCCGTGGTAATACAGTCAGATGAGCTGGGAGACTGGCCACGCTCTACGAGTTAGTTTGATGGAGTATAGAAGCCAACCTTCAAGATGCCCCCAGCCATCCCCATCCCCTGGTATTCACACCCTGTATGCCCCCTCCCACTCTAATTCAGGGCTGGCCCTGTGTGACCAACAGAATACAGAAGTGTGACTTCCAAAGCTATGACACAGAAGGACTGCACTGTGTCATACACTGTGGTGGAAACCAGCTGCCACGTCAAGAAGACACTCAAGCAGCTCCATTGGGAGGCCCTGTGGAGATGAATGAGCCCACTGACCAGCAACCAGCACCAACTCAACAATCACGTGAGTGACCCACCTTGGACATGGATCCTCAATCCCCAGTCAAGCCTTCAGCTGACTGCAGCTGTAGCTGCTATCTGACTACAACTTTATGAGCTAGTCCAAGCCAGAACTGCCTGGCAGGTTTCTCCCAAATTCCTGATCCATAGAAACCATAAGTCACATTAAATGACTATTGTTCTAAGCCACTCCGTTTTGGGGTGATTTGTTATACAGCCGTAATAACTAGAATATAGAACTGTGTGGTTCATTCCAGGAGGGCTGTCTCCAATGCTCTGCTCTAGATCAGGGAGCCAAACTCATGGCCAAACCGTGTCTGATGTCCTACTTCAGAGCATCATGGACAGAACTGACATACTCCATGGACAGTTGCCCTTAAAGTTATCGAAGAAAGAGCTCTTCCCAGCTCTGAGGTTCTCTTATTCTGTGATTTTGTGATTGGATGAGCAGAACTTGCTGAATGATGTTAGCACAGTGCTTCTCAAACTTCAGTAGGCATATACGCCATGGGAGGGATCTTGTGAAAATGCAGATTTTGAGTCAGTAGGAACCTGCCACTCTGCATTTTGAATAAGCTCCCAGGTGACACTGCCTGTCTATAAACCATACTGAGCAGCAAGAGGTTAGAAATCCCCAGTGACAGCAGATTGCATTGGGTGGCCTGGAAAAGGCATTAGGTAACTGTGAAGTATTCTACAGAGAAGGGATGACCAGCTTCAGAAATCCTACACTGGAACAGAGCTCCTGAGTTGGGCGTGAGGAGCCTGTCTAAGGCACCAAGGGCCTTCTGACACTCATGTCCTTTGATTCTCTGAATATGGTCTTAAAAGCATCCAAACACGTTGCCATCATCCTGGGTTTTCTGAATCCTTTAGGGGTGGGGAGTGTGAAGTCGGGCCAGCCTGCACTCCAATCCCATTCACTACCTTGGTGGCCTCTGAGTCTTGGTTTCTTAGTATGTAAATGGAAATGACAACCATCTGAGAGGCTGCTATACCAAGCAGTATCTGACACATAATAGGTGCCCAATATATGTTTCTTAGACTCATTACAAAACCAGATGATCAATAAACATTTGTTCCCTTCAATATGCAGATAAATTGCCTAATTAATATTTGCCCTTGACTTGAATTGTTCTTCATTAACCACACCTGCCCTAGGATGCATGTCAACATGACCCCATTTTACAATTGAGTGCAATATGTTCTCACCCCAGGCATCAGGTAAATACAGGCATGAGAGTCCATGATCTTGTTGGAATTTCAGGGATTGGTTTTTACCCAGGAGGGTCATTCCCCCTGGTCCAGGCATTGAGGCCAGTAACTACTAAGATTTCATCTCATTTCTTTATCTGAGAGAGAAGCCACTATCACCCCGAGGGGCATCTGTCACCAGCATTTTTTCTGTGCCCTAAATGCTCCGAAACTTACAAACCTCACTCGGAGAAGTGCCCTGAATGCTTCAAGACTTACAGACCCGGCTCAATAGGCTCAGGCAGGAAAAGGGTGAAATCAAGAATGGCTAACCATGGGAACACTTTAGCCATTGCTCTGAGATGTAGGTGGGTCAAGTGGGCACTGCACCCCTCCGACAGGGCTTCACTGCCCTGGACAGGGGAGAGACAGAGGGCTCACAGAGCATGTGCTAGGCCAGGGCCAGTCGTGACCCCAGGCACAGTGCCAGTGGAGTGGCCCTGGGGAAACCCAGGCACTTAAATTCCTTTTCATCAAGGAACTGATTAAAGTGTAGTCTATTATCTCTGTCGTGGGCAGCCCCCAAAGATTCCACTTATTCCTCTTCTTCATTCAGTCCTTGCCCAATGAAAGGGCCAGGAAGCTTCCACCACCATCCTGACTGTGGCCACCACACCACCAGCTTCCTCCATAAGAACTCTGAAGGTCACCAGCCAGCATGAGTCCCCCAAAAGTGCCGTGGCTCAGCCAGCAGCCCGTGCAGCAGAGAGCCCAAGACCTTGGACTTGAACTCAGACCCACCACTTTCTGAGCCTGTTTTCACATCTTTGGTGGGGGGGCAGGTGGGGAGTTGTCATATTTACCTTGTTGGGCTCTTTGGAAAAATTAAATGAAATAATAATGTATGTTATACAACGGGCTCATAGGAGGGATGAAAAGCTGCTAGTTCTTTTACTGGTTTTCCCGGAAACAGTATTAAAGAGTGCTGTAGAGGAGCTGGAGAATTCCTGCCCCATATGGGATGTCCTTGGTCTCTTCTGGGGACTTTGAAGACCCAGAGGCTCGCAACTTCCGTGCACCTACCTCCCCGCCGCCGTCTCGCCTCCCCTCTCCACCATCCCCTGCCATCCCCTGCCATCCCGGTGTACCCCACCACCAGAAAACTTTCAGCCAGCTCCTCGGTGAGGGTCCTTCCAAATCGAGGTCGAGAGTAAGGGGCCGCACCCTCCCTTGACAGCGTCGTGCCCAGCCTCAGCGGCAGACCCCAGCCCGGCGCCCGGGAGCCCCGTCAGGCCGCGGCGGCCCCAGAGCCCGGGCGCTCGGGATTGCTCTGAGGGTGCAGTCCTCCGGGCCCCTCCGACTGCGGAGCTGCGACCGCAATGCAGACGCGGGCCCTCCAGCCCTCCTCGCGCCGCCTTCCTCCCGCCGGCCGCGGAGCGCCGGGTCCGCGCCGCCGCTGCGAGCGTTCCTCTCACGCCCTCAGCGCAGGGTGGCTTCCCCTTCCGCGCGCCTGTCCGGAGCCAGGGTTCAGCGCGCTCCAGACGCCTCTGCCTTCCCCTCCCCCTGCCGGCCGCCCCTCGGTCCCCGGGGGTGGGGTTTCCCTTCGCGCGCGCCCCCTCCCGCCCCCCACCCCTCGCGGGCCCTCCCCTCCCCTGCCCGTCCCTATGTATGTGTCACCGCGCGCTATGCCCGCCCGCCGGCCCACCTACCTCCCCGCCGCTCCAGAGGGGGCTCTCAGAGCTGGGGACGCGCGCCGCGCTGCTCAAGGGCTCGCTCTCTCCGCACCGTCGCCGGCCGGCATCTGACGCGGGTGCCAGGGGGCTCCGGGCACCTCTCAGTGTCCCTTCCCTCGGCCAGCCAGGACTCCGCAACCCAGCAGTTGCCGCTGCGGCCGCCGCCCGAGAGTACCGGCGGACAGGACGCCGGCAGGAGGAGGAGTGCGCAGCGCCCGCGCAGAGCGTCTCCCTCGCGGCGCGGCGAGCCTCGGGCCTCCGGGCCCCGGGAGCCCCCAGCTGCCTCGCCAGGTGTGTGGGACCGAAGTTCTCGGAGAAGGGAGTCCAACTCTTCAAGGTAACTGTCTCCTTCCCTCCAGGGCGAGGCTCTCCTAGGGCGCCCGGAGAGCCAGGAGGGGGGCTGAGGCTGCACGCCTCGGGGCTGGGGGCTGCGCTGCCTGGGTCTCCGCCCGGAAGCTGCGGGCGCCGGGGGCTTCCGACGTCCACCCGCCGCGTCCGCGGTGGAGTTGAGCAAACTTTTTGGCGGTTGCAGACTCAGTGAATGGGGCAAAGGAACACGTGAGGAGGGGCGCTTGCCTCCGAGTCCTCCAAAATAAAGGAACAAGGCAGCCTTGACTCCAAACCCCCGTGTGATTTTTTAAATCCTAGGGTCTGGAAGGACCCGTGGCTGACAGAGTAGCGGCTTCAGAGTCAAGGGAGTGCTGGTTTGAATCCCCCAGGTGTTACTTTTGAGTTGGAAGATGTGCTTCACCTTCCTGAGCCTTGGCCTGACCTCTGTCAGCTGAGAAGGAGAAGGCGTTCGTGGGGTCTGGAGGAATCAATGAAATCATATGGATAGTATGTCAGGGACACAGCAGGTCCTCAGCTGAGGCTACAGAGCCCATCCTTAGCCACTCGGCTTCCTCCAGGGACCAGAGTGCCTGAAGAGCTGAGAGGATGCCCCAGGGAGACTGGCGGAACCTGGGACAGAGCTACTGAACTGCCAGCACGGGAGAGAGCAGTGCCCTGAGCACCCGGGTGTCCAACCAAGAAGGGGCATTTCTCCAGGAAGAAAGGGGAGGGGAGCTGAGGACACGCGACCACCGCGGTTTTTCCCTGCGGGTTCCTCTGCAAACGCAGCCAGTGCTGGCGGAGCGAGAGCCCTTTCCAGCCCTGGGGCTGAGTTGGAGGCTGTCAGCATGTCAACGGAACCACACGCTAGGCAGAGCAGGCTGCGGGGTGAGGGCTTGTCTCTGGTTGCGAGACAGGATCCAACCCCAACTTTTCCTCCTTTCAGTCACGAGCTGGGTTCTGACGGGATCCTACTAGGGTTTCACCATGAAGAAGCTGGAGTTTCAGCATTTTGACTGATGTGTAAATTCCAGTTCTGTGAGGGTGGCTGCCGGGAGAAAAATACAAAGCGGAATTGGGTTAGCACGGTGTTTTGGGGTCGTGGGTGCTGCAGTGGGTGGGTGTCTGACAGTGTAAGGCGGACGCTGGACGTTGAAAAGATACCAGTCTCATGTGAAGAGGAGGGCGAGTGGACCCAGAAAGGTGCAATGAATTTCTGAAGGTTGCACTGTGACTTAGGGGCAGGGGCAGAACTAGAATCTAAGTTTTCTGAGGCCATAGTCGGTCCCTCATCCCGATTTCAGGGTCCAGAGGTCTTGGGTTCTAATCCTTACCTCTCTTCCTCATCCTGGGTTGCCATGTTCAAGGAGCAATCAGGTTGCCCATGTGCCCTGGGCAAGGAGGGATTGGAGGTGCTATGAAGATGCGGAGTAGGACTGTTGACTTGTCAGTCACAGAGTCCAGGGAGAGACTGCGGCCAATGGAAAGGCAATGGGGAAGAAACCCCCGAGGCTTTCTGAGGGCGGAAGCACGGAGTGGGAGAGTGGAGGGGAGATTCTAACCTGAAAGGATTGCAGAACAATAGATCTCCCCAGCTTAAAAAGTTTCAGAAGAAGGAATTGTCAGAAGGAAGAAAATATCTCTTAGAGAGATGCTGGAATTCCGCAAGTTGCCTTGAGTTGTGTTTAGTTTAGATATACTTACCTGTAGTTTCTACTGCTGTGCCTGGTATTTTCATTCATTCTCCAATATCCGCTGAGCGCCACCTAGGCGCCGCGCTGTGTGCTCAGACAGCAAGTACTCATTAAATAGACGTGAGGTGACCCAAGCAAAGGGCTGAGCGTAGTGCCTGGCAGCGGGCAAGTACTCAGTAACTGTTCGATATTATTAATTTTACTATTATTCTTAATTCTAGTAGCAAATGAATGTTTTTATTTTCCTAGAATATTCGGTGAAAATCATACTTACATGGGAATATTTTGTTTGATGTTTGGAAGTCCTCTTCACACCCAGGCACACCTCTTGCCCCTGCTCCCCATCTCTCTGTCACACAACCCCAATCCCAGGCAGCAACTCACCCCTGCATGCCAAGGCAGAGCATTCTCCTCCTCTTACGCCCGTCCCCAATTAGAGAGGGAGCTCCAAGAGAGACCTCACCTCCTGAGACGGTGGGCAAGAGCCGGGACAGTGGACAGCCCACCATGCAAGGAAGACCGGGGTTCAAATCCCAGCTCAGCCACTCACTGCCTACATGACTTTGATGAGGGTACCTCAGCCTCCCGGAGGCTTCATTTCCTCTTCTCTAAAAAGGGGAGAAAATCCTCCACGAAAGGATTTTTGTGAAGATTAAAAGATGTAAAGTGGGTGTCTTGTTCGGCTCTCAGCAATCACCACAAACCTTAATTCCTCTCCTCTAACAGCTCCTAAGCCTCCTTGGGGGTCACCGCAAACCCCAAGTTATGGATAGCAAAAATTCAAATATTTTCTCTTGGCAAGAAACTGTGTGTCCCAACTCTTGGTGTGAATCTTTTTTTTTTTTTTTTTTTTTTTTTTTCTGAGATGGAGTCTCACTCTGTCATCCAGGCTGGAGTGCAGTGGCCCAGTCTCAGCTCACTGCAACCTCCACCCTTCAGGTTCAAGTGATTCTTGTGCCTCAGCCTCCCAAGTAGCTGGGGTTACAGGTGTGTGCCACCACACCCAGCTAATTTTTTTATTTTTAGTAGATATGGGGTTTTACCATGTTGGCCAGGTTGGTCTTGACCTTCAGACCTCAGGTGATCACCTGCCTTGGCCTCCCAAAGTGCTGGGTTTACAGGCTGGAGCTACTATGCCTGGCCAGTGAATTTATTTTTAATGATGTCTCCTAGAACTGGGTTCCTCCCAAGGCCCTTCTTATTGGGCCCTTAGGAGGACCTCAGCTGAGCCAAAGGAAGCCCATGAGACCCTGCTTAGAGACCCACTTTGAGTCTGTCTGCTGCTGCAGGGATGTCTAGCACCGGGTTTGTCCAAAGGCAGGTTGTGAAATCAATTTAGTGGAGTTCTTAATAAAATAGGAAATACTAGATAATCTCATAGTGTCTTCTATGTAGCAAAGGTAAGTATTGTTTCTGGAAACTTTTGTTTCTGTTATCTATGTTGAAGCCCTCTATGAGGTTATGTGTGTTTATAATATAAATGTATCTATGAAAATATATACAAATTTGATCTTTGCATATACATTTTTATTTATTTATTTTTTACTATATTGAGCCCACTGATGTTTCTGTGTCAGAAATTCCAGCATTGTGGTGCTAGGTGGCTTGTGCTGGGGCACCCTTGCTGCCACTGCAGCAAATGCTGGGGAGTCAAGGCAGCTGAGGTGGAAACTGGAGCTGGGGAAAGGCAAGTTCAAGGAAGAGGACCCAGAGTCAGAGAGCAAGCAGGGCATGGAGGACAGGTCTGCTTACAAGTAGAGCAGGGGAGGGAACAGGCCAGCAGCTGCCCTGGGAAAGGGGATCTGAGTATGGGAGCACGTCTTGGGAACAGGAGCTTTCCTCTCCTGCTGTCGCTGCAGCCTGGCCTCGTGGCCATGCTTCCTGTCCTGATGCACTGCCGCCCTGATAACTTAAGGAGGTCCTGTTCAATGGGATGAAAGTCCTGTTTCTGTGACAGCTACCTTGGGAGTGGCTGCTCCCCTTCCCCCAGATCCAACAGGACCCAGCCACCCCTGCGAGGGAATCTGGGCCCCTGGGCATGGTTGAAGAAGGGTCACTGGGAGACCAGCAAAACAAGAGGAGGGCTGAAGAAGGAGCGGGAGTGCAGGCGAGAGGAGGACCAGAGAGGGAGATTTGTAGGGAACACGGTAAAACGGTTTCTTTTTTCAAAAGTTGAATCCAGGGCAAGAACGGAAACAGTGGAGTTTACTTTTAAAAACTCAGAGCCTCCTTGTAAGGGGAGGAGTGTGTGTCTATGTGTGTGTGTGCGTGTGCACGCTGGGAGGGCGGGCCCTGCGGGCTGGCCAGGCCTGTGAGAGGTGACTTCTCTCCCTCTCAATGGCCTTACAGTGTATCCTAAAGAAGCTTTTTGTTAAACCCATGAATAGGTGGATTTGGGGTGTGTGATGCTGGGCATCACGATTTGGATATTTGGTTACCTTTGAGGTTACATGTTTTTCATTTTAAGATACACACTCAAAAAAGGAGGCACCTCTTCCTTGTAGGTCACTGTTTTGGTGGATTTGGGGGCGGGGGGTGCCTGTCTCTGTAATTGACTTGACTTGAGGGGCGAGGGTAAGAAGGAGAAACAGGACACGGCAGGTCTGCAATACCTGGCCTGGAAAACAGCCCCCCTCAGTCCCCTCGTCTCTGGCAGTCTCCAGATCACAGATTCCCAGGGCCTTCCAGGCCTATGATGGCCCTCATTTAAGAGATTGCAAAAGGGACCCAGGCCCAAAGAGGGGAAAGATATGCCCCAGGCTGCTGCCTCAGAGCTGGTTGGTAAGAATCTGGACAGGGATCTAGAACTTCAGGCTCTCATTGCAGAACATGCCGTATTCCCAGAGACCATTCACGACCATTTGTTCATTCATTTCATTCACTTATTCATTCATTCATTCCATTCATTCATTTATTCATCCCATTCATTCATTTATTCATTCATTAATTCTTCTTTCAGCAGCGTTTGCTACATGCCAGGCACTGTGCTAGGCATGGATAACACAGCAGCGAATAAATCAACTCACTCTCCCTGCCCTCCACCTGCTTACAGTCTAAATGGGGAAGACAGGCTATAACCAACCTGAACCTGACCTCTCACTTCTAGACAGCAGTGGCTCTCACCTGGCTTTCCCCAGGGAACATTTGGCCATGTCTGGAGACATTTTTTGTTGTCACCGCTGGAAAGTGAGATGCTACTAGCATCTCATGGATAGAGCCAGGGGTGCTGTGAAACATCTTACAGTGTACAGCACAGTCCCCACCCACATACATACACAGGAGGGAATTATCTGGCCCCAGATGTCAGTAGTCC